AAAATAAAAAAAATAATGTGGCACATCTCATAAGCCATGAAAGTACCTTATCTTTTTTCTCTTTTTTTGGCTTTTCTTTCTCTCATTTGATGTCTGCAAAATCTGGAGAAAATTTAATACTTCCTATTTATGTCATTCCTTATTATCATTATTATCATCTATATATATATATATATTAATATAAAGGAGGGAATATGAATGCCTATGTGGCACCTCTCTTAGGCTTGGAAAGGTATTTATCTTTTTTTGTCAACTTTTTTTTGCTCTTTCTCTCAGTTATCTACTTTAAATATCTATTTTGTTACCTTCATTGTAACCGTTCCAATTTCCAACAATTCAGCTAATGAAAACATACAGAGTTCAGTTACAACGATTGGATTAAAATTAGAATAGGTTATCGTTAAACTTGAATTTTCTTTCAATTTTAGCACAGTATTTCAGTTACAGTTCCATAATCCCTTTAATTCCCATTTCCTATTCAAATTCCTTACATAAGTTTTCAGGTACAAACCAACCTTCTTTTATCCCTGACCCATCTTCCCTTTTTGCTTATCTCATCTCAAATCCTTTACTGACCAATTCTTTCTTCCAAAATTTCTTCATTGGCCATGGTGACCAGCCTTATGTTATTAAGTTGCATGCCATTTTCATCTCTCTTTGTGTTATCCATATTAGTTTTATATATAATTTTGCTTTCTTAGGCCAGATTGGTGTGAATAATTACCCGGATCACTATAAAGGAAAATGTTTACGAAAGTTATTCAACAATCCATTTTTTCTTTGAGGTTAATAATTTTCTTTATGAAGTTGAAATTTATATTACTGATATTAATGCTTTAATTTACTAATTTTGAAGATTTCATTAGCTTTGATAGTTGGCTTAATTACATTTGGAATATATAATATTATTATAGAGAAATAATATGATTGTTTGTTAGTAGTTTTATTAAAGCTTGCTTTTGACTTTGGAGCAAGAATACATGATATTTCATTGGTATTTTAGTTTATTTACGGTAATTCTGCCTGTCTCTATTAATATTTTGTCAATATTGTAGTTTTTTCATGATGTTTTGGCCAGTTACTGTTGAAGTTATTTACATTCATCTTTTAATTTTACGTTCTGATATATTTTTTACCAGAAGGCCAAGTAATTTTCTTGAAACCCCTTCATAAATAAGGTATGAAGATTGTGCATTTTTCCTGCTCTATTATCTTTGGGGTGTTCCGAGTAAATAAATTTTTGTTTGCAAATTGATTAATGTGGAAAACAAAAACTTTTGGTTTGACATTTTTGTTTTTGACTTTTTGTGTTGTGTCATCGCATCAACTTCTTTTTATTTCACTTAAGTTATATTTTGGTTAGATTTTTTCGCTTAATAATTCTTTTCGCTCAGAAAATAGTAGGCTTTCAACTCTATCAAGACTCTTCAAGACTAGATTTAGAACTTAGTCCTCCACGAGGCTTTCAGCTCCAGTCCTCCATTTCTCATAGTAATAATTCTTTTCGCTCAGAAAATAGTAGGAAAGATTGATGTACAAAATGCCAAGGTATTTTGCTTGGTTCCATTGTCACTTGTGCAAAAACTAATTGACAAAGCTGATGTTTTCCGGATAACTTACTGTGACTAAGCACTATTTTTCATAGTTTTTGTCAATAAGGTTATTATCTCTATTGCAAAAAATAGGGAAATAGAGCATCTTTTTTTTTTTTTTTTTCTACAGTTTTGAGGAAATGTTGTTATACCTACTTTCTATATTGTTCTCTCAAATTTGACCAACTGTATATGCCATCTTTTGTACGATTTTCAATATTCTTTGTGTTGTTTTCTAACTTGTGATTTTTCTAGATGGTTGAGGAAATGCTATGATACATTTGTGTGATATTCTACTAACTTATTTGGTAATTACTTTTATAACCAACATTCAAGAGATCTGCCTTTTACATGATTGATTTAGGGGAACACTTCGTGCTGATTTGACCGCACAATTGATTATAAAATCTCCGACTCTCAATTACTTACGCCATTTAATTAAAATCTTTATCATATTATGTTCATGTGAGAATCAAATTTAATGTATTTATTTAATTACTAATATGCATTAATAAAATTGCAATTTTCTAAAGATAAGATTCTTAAAAACATTTATGAATAACATTTAGTTAGGAACGAAGGGGGAGAAGACGACATATTTTTTCTCTACAAAATAAGTGCTAGCTTCCCTTCCAATATGCCATTTTACTTATTTGAATTTATTTTTCTAATTCATCTTTTTAATATGTATTTTTCCTTATACATCTGTTTTGTTTATTTTATTCGCATGTTTGTCTAAGATTAAACCTTTTTTTAAAATATTTTGTGCTATAGATTTTTTTATCTATTTTATATTAGTTAAATTTACAATTTACCGCGCGAAGCGCGGATCAATTACCTAGTTTCTAAATAAGTTGGGTTGAGATCCCTTTGTTTTGAGTGAGCTTCATGGATTGTATTTGGGCTAGTTAATGGGTCAGAATGGGCTACAAAAAGTAATGGGTTAACTTGGGCTCAGCCCAAATAGACCCATGAGCTAAACTGTTTGTAGCCCAACCCATTAATCTCTGGGCGGGTTGGATGAACTTGGGCTCAAATTGCCACCCCTATTTGGTAAAAATAGCACGGGCTAGCTAGTTTTCGGACTGGTCATTCAAAAATAGCCAGCGTTTGCAAAGTCATTAAAAAATAATCACTATTTTGCTGCAACACGGAAAGTTCCAACATAATATACTGGAGATCGGTGCACCTGTGTATAAACTTCCAGCATATTATGCTGGAACTCCAACGCGCGGATAGTTCCAGTATATTACTGGAACACCAGTATATTATACTGGAGTTCCAGTATACTATAATGGAGTATTTTTCCGAATTTTGAACAGTGTTTTCGTTCAGATTTATCTTTACATGAAAAAAGGCTAAATTTCGATTACTTTTGAAACTGTGGCTATTTTTGAATGACCGCTTGTAAATATGGCTATTTTTGAATTTCTCCCCTAATTTTGCTCAATGTAAAACTGAGTATTTCCGAATTGGAGAGCAGCTCTTTTGGTACAAACATTTTGGATGCTAATGTTGCATTAACAAATTTCATAAGTTAATTCTTCAAATTATCATCTGAGTAACACTAGCTAGAATCGATTTTACAATTCAAAAGAGCTGATCTCCTGACACACGTTAACAATTGGACGGGAACAGCTGAAACACCTCGTAGAAAAGGCAGCCTTGCTCAACAAGAGAATAATAAGAGATACAATCAATAATCGCCCAAAACTAAAAACAAAAGGCAGCACTTTTAATAAATACGCTCAAAACCAAAAAGCACAATATCCTTCCAACTCAATTTACAAAATTATCAATTATTCGATAGATACATTGTGCTCCTTGATGAATGCTTATGGATTAATATTTGCTTAAAAAAATCTGATATTGATCAAAATCTCAATGTCTCTGGTTGCCTTTTGAAAATACAGCAAGAGTTGCCAGATTTTTGGAATGAGAGTAAACATCTGACCTGCTGATGTTCAGGCTGGCTGGAGATTCTTCTCCTAATATCGCCACAGCACCAGAAATGAGACCGCCTCTATTGTGCTAGACTTTCAGTCTGAAAGAGAATTGATCGGGTTGCACATCTTTTAGCAAGCAGCATGTCCTGCTTGGCAGCAGGAAAGAGAAGAGGTTTTGGGATCACAAATAATCCATAATGGTGAAAGCGCCACAACCTTCCCAATGATAATCAAGGTTGGTGACACAAGCTGGTTTGATGCAATGTCGTCAGCTAGATTCTTCAATTCTGCAAACACCTGAATGAATTACAAGGGCAACTACAATCAGCCACGCAATCCTACGTTCCTGTCAAGTTGAATGCTTAAATAGGCAGAAAAGAAACATTGGTATAATAGCAAAGAATAACTCATCCAATCCTTGAATGTGAAGGCTGGAAACCTTGTTTACAAATAAACATTACATGCAGAATTTGCTGTTATCTCAATCACTTCAAAGCTTTATTTCAGATAGCTTCTCCAAGTTAGAGATCTGAGACATGGCTCAGTCTCTGACTTGTTCTTCACTCCACTTTATATAAACAACCTCCCAGCACATTTCTCAACTTCAAATAAATGCTGCTTTCGCGATCATGTTGACTATAGTAACCAATGAAGCTGAGCATGATGTGAGAACAGAGGTGGTAGTTTTAGCGCAAAAGTTATGAGTCCAATATTTCTAATACCAGAGAGCTCTGAAACCAATGGGGGTGGTAATGTGACTAGGAAAGACTATCTCGAGTACTTATCCGAAAAACAATAACATTCAGAGTTACCCACTAAGGATCTTTGGTCGCGACATTCATTTTTTTCTAATACCTTTTTGCAATCTTCCATAAAGAAGACAACAGACCAAACGGAAGTAGCATCTTCATTCTCAGGAAGAGGGGTTGAAATATTTCAGAAAGCAAGAATACTCATGTAAATGTCCTCTCCCTAAAGGCATGTGTGTAACTTTTGTTCCAATTTTGTCGGGTGCAGTTATCATACAACAAATGATTTATTCTCAAAGGCAGCTGACAAAAGCAACAATCTTGCAAATAATGGAGGAATAAGAGAAAGAGAAAGAGAAGCAACTGTATTCACTTACCAAGCGTTGTTGGGGAGTTGTCCCTCTCTCAATGGCAACAGCTGGTGTGTTAGTTGGCAACCCATGATGTATCAGCTTTGAGGCCAGGGAAGGAAGAGTTGACAAGCCCATATAAACAACTAAAGTACAGTCAGGGTCAGCTGCATTCTCTGCAACGAAAAGTGGGTCTGTTCCGCCTTTTCTTGAGTGACCGGTGAGAAATCTAACACTATTTGCAACACCACGATGGGTTAATGGAATTCCCAACTCTGCTGATATACCAGAAGCTGCAGTAATACCTGAAATGAATGACCACAATGAGACCTACATCACGTTGTGTATGGCAGAATGAGATTCCACTTTGACCAGTATGTCACACTTCTTCCAACTATGTATCAAAAACTTATGCACGACACCTAACTAGCCCACTCTTGCCTATACAGAAATATTATAGAGCAACCACAAAGTGTGGATGGAGTCTATTTGGAAATTAAATCCTTTCTATCAACAGAGGAACTACCAGCAACCATAATATTGGTAAACATATAACAGCACAAGTCTTTCTGAATGCTGGAAGATGGTTCTAAAGAAAGCACACTTTAGCATATAAATCTGCTCAAATTAACATAAGATATTGGATTCTCAAGAGAGACTATGTATATTTCTTTCAGGATTCTTAACGTCCTATTCAACAGAGGCCAAGATATAAACTCTCAGCATCTAAACTGAAAGGAAAAATCTTAAAATTACAGATTAAACTTTCAGAAAGAAGACATGATTTACTAGGTAAATTGCAAGCTTATGATTATTAGAGAGACACTTGCTTTTGTTCCCCAAGTAAATACTGAAGAAGATATACTTTCTCCCACCACTCTGCACATTGCTACTTCTCAACACTGAAACGCCTCTTCATAATTAAGATATATTTCCAGTGGGATTAAGTTAGTACGCCAGCCAACTGAATGACACTTGGAAAGATAAAATTACATTCTGCGGTTTTATAGCTCAAATTGAGTTCTTTGTGGGATTCACAAACTTATCATACCTGGAATTACTTTAACTTGAATCCCCTTTTGTTGGAGAAAATCCATCTCTTCTCCACCCCGTCCAAATACCTGGTAATCCAACAAACGCCCCAAAATTTCTTCTTTGAAATTGTAAAAATCAACTATATACAAATGTATAAGCTTATACCAAACATCTAAGCTGGAGACATACCAATGGATCACCGCCTTTTAGTCTCACAACATTTGCTCCAGCTTCTGCAAAACTCAGAAGCAACTCATGAATTTCTTCCTGCAAAACGCAAAACGCAAAATGCAAAATACAACTGTTATCTTACAAATTCGCTGCCACCAAATATGCATAGATGTCATGTGCACAATGCAAGCTGGCTGGTTGTTGTAATGACATGGGATAGACTAACATTCAGCTAAAGAGCTTGTAACACATAGATTTTCAACCAACGCCCCACTACTTAATGCACCGCTAAATATAACTATTTGAGCAATTTTCATATCTAGGCTAATTTCAGGTTAGGTTATGTTGTGCGAACTCTCCAAAATGTAGCCGCACCCGTGTCGGATCCTTCAAAAAATGCACTACTTTTGGAGGATCCGGCCACATTTTCGGAGAGTCCGAGCAACATAGATTTCAGGCATCAGCTAAAACACAGAATAGAAGAAAGGCTATATCTTTTCCACCATTATAATAAAAGCCAATCTATCAGAATCCATTACTGCATTTCAGAACTATATATTGAGAAATTTCCAGCATTGGAAGAAAATGGTAGGAAAGCCCAATTTTTTACCTAAAGTTTCTAAAGTTCTCATCTAAAATGCGTTCACTTTCTAATCATCCCAAGCATTTTCCAAAAGATTAAGTTCCCAATAAATTCCAATGCCAATTTCACAAAATTTTCAATAGAAGCATCATTCCAATAGAAGGAAATTCATGTATCAAGCCAAGAATTAAGTTCTCTATCCAAGGATCAAGATTACCCAAATTTATCAACTGTGAATCTAGAATTCAGTAAATCAAACAAACACAAGTAGAAATGTTCAAAAACCACAGACTAATTGCACCAACCTGAGTTCTGCTATGGTAACCAGCAGTTTTACCAACATAGAGAAGTCTAGCATCAGGACCAACCAAATCCAACACTTCATTAGAAACCAATCTATCATACAACAAAAGATCAGCATTCTGAATAACTCTCAAAGCCTTAAGTGTCAACAACTCAGGGTCCCCTGGTCCAGTACCAACCAAGTACACATTCCCAGGCCCTCTTTTATCACCCCCTCCTCCTTCACTTCCCCTCTTCTCCTTCAAAACCTGAAGCATTTTCTTCAGCTCAGGTAGCTGTAAAGCTATGTCATAGTCCCTAACATAGCTGGGATCAGGTAGAATTGGACAAGAACCAGATTTCTCCTCCAATTCATTCTTGTAAATCCAATTGTCCCTTTGGTACCTCTCAGTTGAATGCTTCTCAGTAAAGGGGGAAGATGATTGTGATGCATAGTTGATACAAGAAGCAGGTTTAAGCCCAAAAGATTTGATTTTTCTCAATTGGGTTGCTCCAGAAGATGAAGAAATTGAAGGAATTCTACTCACAAGAGCCATACTCTTTTCTCTCAAGAAAAGAATGGCCCTTAAAGGTGTATACTTTTTCTCAAAAATGTAGATTTTGGAGGGGATATATATGTATGTAAGTGCATGGGGCAAAAGGGGTATTTGGGTTTGAATTGGGACCTTTTATTTTGAGCTTTAAAGGGTCATGAGAAGGCAATTTCAGTAGGCTTTTGATGCTTTGAAAGGGACAAGCTTTCTTTTGGAGGCTTTTCACCAAGGTAGAGATTCTATTTTATTAGTACTTTTTGAAAAAAAAACAAATCAATATAAAAATAATACAAAATTAAGAAGCGCAGAAATTTCAAGAAATTTTGTGAAGAAGATGAAACAACTTGGGGCTATGATTGGTGAAAGCCCCAAGTAGTAAAGAAAGATTTGACCTTTGGAGGAAGCTGTTGAAAAGGGAAAATGAAAAGCGGCTAAATGGAAGAGGGGTTGGAGGCGGCGAGGAAAAGTTTTCTGGGGGGGGGGGGGGGGGGGTAGAGAGGCCACAGTGTACTGGTCTGTATGAAGCCCCAGTTTCGACCAAATTCATTCAATTAAAATTATGAGGGTTATTAACCATACGAATTTAGAATTAGATGCTAATTTTTTAACCATAAGCTGTTTGATATGACCTGACCAATAAGTTATGTTCCATAAGTTGTGCGAAATTGCAAAGGCTAAAAACAATACTTTATCCATCAATTTTGCAGAGTACTCCTGCTTCTTTATTTTTGAGATCGAATATACAATTTAAAAGCCAAAAGAAAAGGAAAAAGATAATAAAGCCACATAAGAAACATTTTCATCTAATTGCCAACTGAACAGGAGATAGAACAAAACAAAAGGTGGTCCAACTAAGAAATTTTGTTTTGCCTTTACTTTAAGGGTTTGTTTGAAAAGCCATCCGATAATTGGAATTGGTGTAATTACCAGGGTAGTAATTAAACAGCCTAGTAATTACACAGTTGTGTAATTACGACGACCTATTTGTTTGTCATAGTATAACTAAAGTGTAATTACAGGTTTATTGTTTGATTGCACAAGTGTAATTACACAGATTAAATTTTAAATGAAGTAATTATCAAACTAAAAAGTTAATATACTCCCCCGGTCCAAAATAAGTGATTTTTTGGATGTTTTCACACAAATTAAGAAATTCACCTTTTAGCATTAATTAGCAATGGAATTGACCATATTAACCTTTACTATTTTCACATAAACACTCCTAACACATTTCCAACACTATTTACTCCAAGGACAATGTAGGAAAAAAATAATTAATTCATTCTTGAGATCTGAAAAAATCACTTATTTTGGACCACAAGAAGAAGAACAAAAAATCACTTATTTTGGACCGGAGGGAATAACATTTATAGAGNGTTGTTGACCGGGGGAGTAATAAATATATGCCTCTAAATTTTTATAAGTATAAATGATATTATATTTGGTCTTTAAGGTACATAGTGAATATGCATTAATTAGTAATTATATATTTATAAATAATATTGTAAAAATAATTCATATATATTTTCCAAATTAACAATATTTAGTTTAGATACGGTCAGACCTCTCTATAACAACATCCCTATATAACAACACTTCACTATAAAAGCCAAGCTTTTCCGGAACCAAATTTCATGTTATGTTATAATATATGTTCTCTATAACAGCACTTCGCCGTAACATCCAAAAATATTCGGAACAAACGAGATTGTTATAGAGAGGTTTGATTGCACTTACAAAAATAAAAACACATACGTTTTGTCAGAACATCATGAAATTCATATTTGATAAAATAAAATAATTATTATAAATATAATGTCATAACATTATTCAAATGTTTGACAGAATTAATCTATCAATTCTAACTAAAAAATGAACAACAACAATGTGAGTCAATACTACTAAAAAAAGTAAATTGGAACCACAAATATAACACAATTTTAAATCCGAAAAAAAAATAGTTTAACATATATCAAGTTTCAACATAATAATAGTAAGTTCCACTACAACTTAAGGTTAGGAAACATAATAAGTTTATAACCACATTCAACACCGAAATTTCACTTTAATTGCATCACTCATTATATGTCAAGTTTGTTAATGACTCATTATTTCTAATATTAGGAAGTGTAGTTTCAAAAATTAGAATAATAAAATAAATAAAATATAAAATATAAGCAATTACATGAAATCACAAGAAGTAAAGGTAGAGAAATAAAAGATAAATAATGCACAAAGAAAAATATATTTTAAAATTAAAAAAAATAATAAAAGTAAAAATAAAATTTAAAAAATAGAAACAAAAGGTTATAAAGAAAATAAATTAAAATAAAAACAAAAAGGAAAGAAACTAAAAAGCAACCTTGTAATTGCACAGTGTAATTACCACCAATTCTCACCTCCCCCTTGAGAATTGGATAGTGTAATTACACCCCTCCAATTACACCCAATTCCATGCTGACCAAGTAATTACTTGGTCAAACAAACATGCCAAACTGCGTAATTACACCCAATTACACTCAAATCCAATTACTACGTGGCTTTCCAAACAGGCTCTTATAGAGTACTTAAAAGATACTCCTTCCGTTTTATATTAGATGAGGTACTTTCCTTTTTAGTTTGTTCCAAAACAAATGACACATTTCTAAATTTGGAAATAATTCAAACTTTAAACTCTTCATTACCCATTTACCCTTAATGAGAAGCTTTTATAGCCACACAAATGGCATGGCCCCACAAACCTTTTACCCCTTTAAGCTTTTAAGACCACAAGTTTCAGAAATCTTCTTCTTTCTTCTTAAACTCCGTGTCGAGTCAAACTACCTCATCTAATATAAAACGGAGGGAGTACATGCCTAACTTAAAATAAATTATAGTGAGACACAGAGGCGAACATTATATTTTGTTAGCATCGTTTTATTCTTTTTGTCTAGCTGATGAACATTCGTATTTAATTCTTTTATATATGGCAAGAGTGACTTCTTAGTTATTCACAACCTATGGGTTAGTAAGGGGTTTCTTTTCACCTTGACTATTACGCCGAATAATCAGGATGCACATAAACTTGCTTGGACATTGCAATTTAAAAATATTTATGCAATCAAATAACTTATCAAGTAGTTATAGCTACATTTCTTGATAAGCATTAATTAAAAATTATATGCTATCATATATTACAATTAACTGAGAATATAAAAAAATATTTATACTAACAATGTATATAACTTAAATCCTAAAAAGATATTAGGTTGCTGGAGTTTATGATTTTAAAAAAGAATTATTGTAGACATCGAACAAGAAGGGTGTTGTGGATTATACGATTACAAGTAATACTTCTGAACATAAATAGATCCTATTTGTTGGGTATTGAATTCGGATACCGGATCGCTCTACGTGGTTTGACCCAGTTCATTCAGGGAGAGATAGAATTTGGGAATAAAATAATTTCTCTGGAGAGGTTACTACACATTTAGGTGTAGTTGAGAGCAGTTTTCTCATAGCAGTTAATTGCTTTCTTTTAAAAAAAAATTGATTTAGTCTTCTTCTTCAGATGGGTAAGAACGAACAACTAAAACGAATCACTCTCCCTTCCTCCTTAATCTTCTTCTTAACAGAGAAAATTTCTCTTCTTCTTTTTGCAAAACATACAGAAAAAGAAAGACATTTAGTTCGTGGAACTAAATTTTGTTTTTCAAGAGAATCAAAGTTGGACTTAGGGACTACCTTTCTAGGTTGTATTTTACTCTGCTGCATAACAAGTACATGATTCTAATTTCAGTTCTTACTATATTTTATTAACAATGGCATCAGAGCATATGATGTGTATTCTGTTGATAACTATCAAATTATTATGCTTCCTAAACTAATTTTGTTGTTTTTGTGTTTCTATGGATAAACTACAATAAAAATAAATATTTTGAGAAAGAGTCATATTGCCGTTCCAAAACTGAATTGGAGGTGTCGGCATTTGGCCTTAAAGCAAGACTAGATATTGTCTTTATTCTATTCTAATATATCAGTGGCAACATAAAACTTGCTTTGATGATGTTCTGAAATTCCTTTGTGTTTGATGGGATTTTCAGTATTAAATTTGAGAATATTGGTAGGTTAAAGTTTAGACCCCGCATTGATTATAATTTTTTATAAAGTCTATTTGACTATATCGGTGTTCTTTGATTGTTGTTTTCTGAAATATGAAAGGAATGGCAAAAGGCTAACGCCAAATTGTATTATTTCAGAACTTTGAAATATATTCTTGTCTATTGACGACAAAACAGAAACATAATAATCAAACAATATCAGCTAGTTCAATATAAACAACAAAATGACGAAATCTTCGTAAATACTTGCCTTTTAGTATTTTTTTTTGTTTGGTTCTCAATGAAAGACAAGGTAAAAATATACAGAATCTTTTATTTTAGGATAAGATTCTAAAATAGTGAATGGTTATTGAAAATCACAATATGAATCGTTACTTATTTAAAGTAATGATAATAAGAACTTCACTGCCTTCTTAGTATGTAAAATTAATTTAGTCTTAATCCCTCTATTGGTATTCTTCTACGAGTTGATTGTGAAATTTGTTGTCATATTGAATGGTAGTAGTCATTCTTATTGTTTCCATGTTTCTATTTTAAATACGGCTGAACGGGAACAAGCTCGAATTACTCCAAGCGGGAGGTCTCGAAGTCGAGCAAGGGAACAACGTAGAAGGATGCGTCGTCACATGACTTATTTCTGTAATGATTCAGACTCGGAGCCTGAAGTCATGAGGAATATCCCAAGAGCGAGGCGAAATGAGTTAAGGGATCGAAGGGCTGAACGAAGAGAAGGAGAACATAAATTTAGGGTGTTTAAGGAATTTAAAATGCGCCCTGATGCTTTCATTCCTGAACATGTACATATTTTGCAATTAAAAAGAGCTGAATTGTCTAATTACATAGAGATTACTGATTGGGAAGCATTAGCTATTTTAGCGGACTTTCTTCGAGAGCCGTGGGGGTGAAGTTTTAACTAATATTTATCATGATATAGTGCACCTTTTAGCATATACGTGCAAGAGTTAGTATTCAGTTGGTATATGTATGTCCTGTCAAATATGTAAATTGTTATTATGTGTTTTATTTTAATGAAATTTAAATTATGTTGTTTGTCTCGCCAGTTACATATATTATTTATTATTTTATTTATAATGGATTGAAACTTGAATGAAGTACTGTAACGACCCGGCTGGTCGTTTTTGGAATCTACGCCCCGATCCCCTATTAACTGCTTCTCCCAAGTTTATTTCTGCTATTTTGATTTGCCGGGATGTTCGGTTTTGAGTTTCGGAGAGTTTTGGGACACTTAGTCCCTAAATGAGAGCTTAAGTGTTGGAAAGTTGACCGTAGTCAGAACAGTGTGAAGACG